TATGCTTTCATCTACTCCATCTATCGTATAAAAATTACCACTACAGTCTGTTATTTGAAATTAGCTTCTTCAACTACTGTTTTAATGGTTTATTCTGAAATTCTTGTATAAAAATTTGCTCCTATTCCCGGGTTTTCCCGGTTACTTTTCCAATTCCTGGATATTTCCCGGTATTCCCGGTTTGCTGACCACCCTGTTAACTCCACTCATTAGTTTCTGTACAACATCTGGCTGCAGGTTCTTCTGTACGGAAACCCACTTTTTCTTCATGTCTTCCTCAGATTTGACCTCCTTGGGATGCTTCCGTAGGCCTGCTTCATAATAGCCCAGTATTTTTAGATGGGCCTTATTTCCGGTGCGTTGGGGGGGGGGGGGGGACATCAAACTTGTGCTGGGCGGTGAATAACAGTAGCCTAGGAAACTGCCGGAAGTCCGCCTTGACGTAAGTCTCATCATCCATGATGAGGCAGAGAGGCTTCGTTAGCATCTGGGTGTACAGTTTTCGGGTAGAGATGAACTAGCCAACGACTAAAAATCTCTCTAAAAAGACAAAAAAAAAACCCACCGTATTTTGCCGTTCGTCACGATTTGTAGCCTTCTGCACTTTGTAAGTATGCAGTCCCTCCCGGTCATTGGCTCTCTGAACGAAAGACTTGGACAGATTCAACTTTTTGGCCACACCCCTGACCGAAGCATTGGGATTCCGTTCGATGCTCAGAGTTTTGTAGCAACGTTTAATCACACGACTTACCGTTGACTGCACGATTCCGAGTTCTTTTCCGATGTCCCGATGAGAGAGTTGAGGATTTTCCAGGTGCCTGCGCAAAATCAATTCGCGGCGTTGCTTTGGAAAAACTGACAGCGATAAAAATACAGTGTAAACAATACACTCTAAACTACTTCTACCCAAATGTTCAAGAGAAAATACCCAATGGGTAATTTTTTACAACGTTTTTTTTTTCCGTGATGCTATTTGATTTGGGACACCTTTTACATTCATGGATGAAGGGACTTGAGGTTTTTCCTCAAATCCACAGGCAAAAGAGTGCGCGTTTGACTTTGCTCATATATTGTCTGCGGCTGTGGGATTGTTCTAGCGACGTGTATCACTACCTTAAGTTCCACGTTGCCGAAAGCATTTCCAGGCGATGGTGTGTTGTAAATGTAATGCAATTCTTCTCTACACAACTATTGTGTTGCTCCTCTCATGGTCATGTTGATACAAGGGGTTGGTCACTCTACACAGTGTGCCAAAATCAAACTTGGGCACACCCGGGTGCAATCATTGGAGCTGTTTGTTACCCATGGTTACAATTCTTTATGATCTTTAAAGATACTGGCAACACTGAAATTTTTCTGCGCCTGCGCAGTTTGCATGTGTCAAAATTTGTTATTGATGTTGCCGCAATATAATCAAATTATTTTCAAAACACAACCGTGAATCTCAACCAAGTCTCACAATCGTTACACCCGTGACGGCAGTCGCGTCCACATTTCTTCCTAGACGAAGAACAGCTGACAGCGGTATCTTGACCTGACCGAGGTCTCAGAGGAAATCTTGGGCCGGTCACGACATGCGGTGCTTGAGTTTTAATCGGAAAGTCAACAACCAAACAAAAACTATACCATTCGACCATTCGAACTGCTCGAATACATCCATGGAGACGACGGATACATCATCCAGTGTGTAGTCCCAGCTGGAGTCCGTGTCGTTTTTGAAAACATTGAAAAACAAAACAAAAACAAGAGCTGTTAAAATACCGGGTAGCCAAACAAGGCATTATTCACTTCATTCAATCAAAAGTCAGTTCAATGACTTCTTGGCACTGCCGGTATACAGCTGCGGCACACTGAGGTACACTGAGAAAAAAGTTGGCACAAAACAAGTGTGTAGAGTGACCACCCCTTGGACCTAATGCAATGTTCAGCTTGAATTGTGAGCAGAACTAAAAAGGAATTCCTAGGGTAATCCCACGGGAATTTCGGGAGAATACTAAGTGTATGCTGAGGAGAACTCCAAGTGATTTTTTTCAGGAATATTTTTCGGGGAATTGCTAGAATTATTAATGAATGAAGAGCATTACAGAGTAAATTCAGGGAGTGTTCTACAGAAGATTTATAAAAGTATTATGGATAACATTATAAAAGAATTCAATGTTTTCATAACAAATTTCAAAATCCTGAACCAGGCATGGAAAATCATTTGCATTCACTTCGTGCATTCGTTTTTTCATTAACAGTATTCCGCAAAATGATGTATGGAGTTATAGGGTTTGCTTTTAGCTACAACTTTTGTTAACAAGTCAAATCCGTTTCTCTGATGCGTGACGAACCAAAGCGAACAGAAGCCACTACTGTTTTTTTGTATTTTACATTCACTGAAAAACAGTAGCAAGTTCTGCTCGCTCTAGTTCGTGATGCATATGAGATACAGATTAGAGTTATGGGCAAAATTTGTAGCTAATAACAAAACCTACAAAAGCTCTATATATTTTTTTGCGGAATGCTGTTAATGAAAAAAGTTAGAGGCAAATGAATGATTACATTAAATGAATGTAAATGATTTTCCATGCCTGTCCTGAACACAGAAAAAGGATCAAGGTTTGGTAAAAAATTGAAACTTTGAGGCTTACATTTTTTAAGATTCCATGCTTAGAAAATTATATGATCCTGGATTTAGAAAAATCTGTGTTTTACTAAAATAAATATTCCGGATATGGAGACGGGGAGGGAACATGAGAATTTTCAAGTTCCAAAACTAGCAAAAATATTTGAAATGCCGAACTTTGACTTGAAATTAATCAAATGGAATTCTTCTAATTCTAGGATTTTGGCACGTTGAAAAGTTTCTAGATCTTGGAATGAATTTCGCAATTGTTGTCATCTCTGATCAAGGGAAGTAAAGCCGTTGGTCCCCGGTTCATGAGTTGATGGGTCGATAGCAGTGGCGTCGCGTAACCTCACTTTTTACCTGTTCAACAACTTTGAAAACGTTATTGAGGGTCATGTTTACATTCAGTTTCAAAAGGCATAGGGTCTTCTAGTTTCACTGATTTGTTTCCATTGAAACCAATGTTCTTTTGTTTGTTTACGTTTTGAGAGTTGTTGAACAGGTAGATTGAGGTTAATGCGACGCCACTGGTCGATAGGTATGGTCCAGGTGTGGGAGCTGCCTCCCTGGCAGCGGTAGCATTGGTGCTCAGCACGGAAAACAAACCAAGGAAAAAAAACCGCGTCATGTTCCCAGCGAAAAACGCAACAATAGTTTCAGAGTGCTTTTTGAATAGGTCGTATGTAACAAACGTAAACTATTTGACTTTTTAATACTTCCAGACTCTACTCTGCTTACTTTGGCTAAAGGCAACATTTTGGCCCGCTATCTCATTTCTGTTTCATTTTCTAATCAAAAACTATTTGTCGTATGTGCCAACCGATCATAATATCTACATATTATGGAAATCTTTGTATAAACAGTGTCCAAATATTGATACTAGATTCCTTCAATGAATGTAACCGACCAAATCACGTAACTTCTATGTGATAATCCTATGACGGTTAAGTTTCATGAAATGAGTACCCCTACATGAGAATCACGTAGCTGTTATGTGAATAGTACGATGGAAAATATCTACGTATGTTTTCACGTGACATTGACGTGCAAATTATTCTGAGTGTAGGACTGAAGCATCTCTTGAAAATTTAAAGTCAAGCAAAACTTTTATGTACAATGCATTTTTTGAAATATGTAATGCTCTTTTTTAATTTTTTAAGAATAAATGTTGATGACCACGAAGTAATGTTTTTTTTATTACAATTGCACAGAAAATAAACATAGATTTTCCGTGGCAAAAATGATTTTTCCAGTAAACAGCGATCCTAACTAATTATTCCTAGTAGGGGAACGGGGCTTAAAATAACTCTTTAAATTGAGAAATTATTAAAATTATATGAATGTAAATGAATTAAAATGTAAAAGGTACATTGATTGAAAGATCTGTGCGTTGATTGAATTGATTGATATTTGAATCAATAAGCACTTAAAATCGTCAATTGTTTATTTTACCCAGTATGTAAATTTTACCCCGACTTCCCCTAACATTCACATTTCAGCGAAGGTTAAACATTATCCAGACCAAAAAGTTGAAAATTCATGTTTAAAAACTGAAAAATTTAGTGAAATCAGCAGGCTGACAAAATCGGGAAAGCACTGTAATATTATGATCTGGAAACACGTTCCCGATTTGTAACACAAAGGTTCATGAGTGCAAGACAATAATCCCATCCGATATTCAAACGATGTTCGTAACGCAACATGTGGCACAATTTACGTGAGAAAAACAACAACTACCAACAGCTCGCTAAAAGACAATAGTTTCCTATCAACGTTTCCTGGCTATTAGCTAGCACAAGGAAAGAGTGTTTTTTCCTCCATTAAGAATGCATGATTACTTTCATCACAACGTTATCAAGAATATCAAAGTGCCGTTCTCTAAGAACAACAAACTTTTTCACGACTGAGATTGAACCAGTTCTGATGCAAGACGCGGATAGACAGCAGCTCAGCGCTTTCATAACCTCGACTACAACCTTCACGAGCGCCAAACCAACACCACCACCACCACCACCGTGCACCATCATCGTCTCATATGCGATATGTGCAGCAGAAACAGCAGCAGCAACTTGAGCTGCTATTATAAATGTACGTCGTACTATTCTGCCTAGTTTTTTTTGCTGCCTCCTCTACTACATATACTATAAATGTAGGAACCTATACCCGCAACAATTCTACGAGCAGACTTTTTGCTTCGCTTATTATTTTTCGTTTGCTCTCGAATGTCACGCGCGCATGTGGGCAATTTTTTCACTACTTCATCTTCCCTTGAATGCAATAATGATTGCTATAACTCTATCTAGCTATAATTCGCGAATTCAAAGGCTCAACGATGAAGACAAGGAGATTGATGTTTGTACTTTTCTAGTGGCAACCTCAAAGGACTTACCTGTGACGATGAAGCTTCAGTAAAATCGTTTATGCTGCTCCGTTCCTCTACAGTGAGAATAATCCACACAAAGTCGCAATTCGGCCTTCGAGGTGCGAGGTTCTGCTTCTACTTTTTCGTCTTCTCCTATTGCTTCCTTCCTGCCTGGCTGGTTTTTCGTGGAACTGTGTGACGATTTTTCAGCTACATCCACCATTAATTGGCCACATTTTGGTCTCTTGATAGCTCGCTAAACGGGTACTTCCACCTAGAACACTATCCTCTGCCCAGAAAAATCGTATTATGAAACACTTTCTTCACGCAACAGATGCAAACAGCAGCCATCACCCAAGCAGCGCATTGGAAAAATATTTACAATGCTGAATAATCCACTTTTTTCGCTGCTTTTGGGGCCCCCAGACATTGAATTCGATCAAAAACAACACTCAGATACAGATACAGACGCACGTTTCCAACACTACTCACAACGCGAAGACGACGGGACAGCAAACACACAATAGGGCCTTCTTTTTCCTCCTCTTCTTTGGCCTTCCCTGTGATGGGGCTACGCGTTTTTCATCAACCTTCTCGCATTCGTCGTAAGATATTTTAAAATTTATTCCAGCGAAAAATTTCTGCACTATTTTTCTTCGGCTGCTTCTGGGTGCGTGCTGCGCAATCAAAACGGAAAATGAAAACGGTCACACTGCACTTTTAATCCGCAAGGAGTTGGATCTTAAACTCCCCAAAAAGAAAGAAAAAAATACCTGCTTTTATTCCGTCGTCGTCGATTCGCGAATCGCGACGCCACGCAGCAAAACACCAGACGACGGGATCCGCCGCAGCAGCCCAAACCGTTGTCGTAAATTCCGCTTCAAAACGCGTGCACGCAAATTCACAGCACTGTCCCAAGTAGGATATTCCGTCGAATTTTCACTTTTTCCCCGAAAACACTGTTCGATATTTCTGATTGTGCGAGTGTCTGCTTGCGCTGCTGCTGATGTCGAAATCAACCAGCAGAAAAGAGTAGCCAGAGCAGAGTGAGTGAATGAAAAATGACGATGGTCGTCCGATCTCTGCAGGGCAGCGAAAAAAAAAGAGTCGGTTTGCAGAACACCAGTCAAGAAACTTCAGTTTGCGAAGAAAAGAAAACGCGAGCGAGTCACAAAAACAGAGCGAAAGCCCTTGCAGCAAAACGTCCCCTTGACATTTAGTGGTTTGGTAAGGTTGGCAGCGTGTGTCAAGATGGCTGCGGCTTTTGACGTTTCCTTTTGTTTTGTTTTGATTATGGAAGGCTGCCGCTGCAGTATAAAAATACACTATAAAACGAGGGGCCGTTCTCGGTAGATGGTTTACGCTAACTTTAAAGCAACCATTTATGAGTAAAATTTTAGCCAATGTAATGAAAAGTTGGTTAACTTGTTAATGGGTAAACTTTTTACTAATTTAATGAGTATCTGTTGACCATAGGCTCTTTTCATGCACCATTAATTTTGAGTGCGCTAGCCGATTAGAGGAAATGTCATCCAATCCATTTGTTTACATCATAATGACGATTTTCAAAACTCAAAATAATGTACATTTTATTGTACAAATTGCAAATTTCCATCGTAAGTGGTTTTTAATTTTTCAATTACAGATCTGAACTGATAATAACCACACAATGAAAATCCGGAAGAACATATCAACCGGTGAACACTCGTGTTTATTTCAGTTACCGTGGGGACGCAATTTGTGATTAGCCCGGTCCCTTTCAAATTGTATAATAATTATTATTTATGTACGGTCTTTATCAAGGTGGCTTCATATAGGTGTTCTAATGTGTCAAATTCGTGATTCAGCCATGTTGGATTTTTGTATGGGACAGCGACCGAGTTTGTTTACAATTTGCTCTAAAACCACATTTCCCCCCCGCGACCTCCTCGCCTATATAGTGACAAAGCTGTATCACCATTTATATACCCACACGCTAATAAAAAGGTATCCATTAATGTTTAAAAATTAACCAGTTTCGAGAAAACCCGCACATATTCATAAAATGAATAAACGTTGTTTACTCATCGGATGAATAAACGCGTTTTTCTTGGTAGTGGTTATATTTTAATCATTAATGAATAAAGACGTTTTTCTCGAAAGTGGTTAGAACTTATACACTGGAATGTTTTGCATGTTTTTCTTTTATTGTCAATATCTTAAACTAATAAAAAAATAAATAAATGAATAAATATTACATCCGATGTCATTGGCAAGCGCTGGGTAAGATTGTTGATGAATGCCGACAGGATGTTGGCCATATCGGATGTTGTTCACGTCGCCGGAGGCGTCTGCGGGCTGCTGTGGAAGAAGTTGGATTATTTACGAGACTTGAACAATCTATAGATATCCCTACCATCTTACCTTCCGCCATAATTTTCCAGTCCAACAAGTCGATAAACTTCGTATTCTTTGTGTACTAGATGTAGTTATTGGTGTCAATCGCCGGCACGGCCTGTACTTGTCCGTAAGGAACTGATGAACTGCTGATTGAGACATTTTCATTATCTAAATAGTAAACTACAAAACAAAAGGGAAATGCTTACGTTTATAATTGTTGTTGGTGGGCTACCGGACCATGAAAATGCTGAAAATAGAAAGAAAATTATAATTCTAAATTGTTTATTAACATTAACATTATTTCTCTATAAAACTACATGCATTTTACCCTTGAACTAACCTGCGACGAAGTTGATCAATGATAGCCGCCATGCTTGCAGAAAATAAATTGACAAGTGTTTTTTTCAGCCACTAGTGAATAAAATTAAGACACTTCTGCTGAAGAATGGTTTTCTCAGAAAATGTCTAAATTGTATACACTTTCCTGCTATAAATTTTAACCACTTTATGACAGCTCGAACAACTTCTAAAAGTGGTTAAAAAAAAAGTCATTAATGCATAGACTCGTTTTTCCGTGCACCATGGTCTTTATATTTGAAATGACGTTTCACATTCATCTAGTGATGGCCGATTTTCATTCTAATAATCGATTAATCGATTAACGAACCGAAAAGTACACGGCGAATGAGAACGACCCAAATTTGAGATTAGTTCACTCATAATCGCCAAAAGTGCAGGAACTCAGCGATGAGTAAAATTTGTCTCATGTTTTCCAAGGTTTTTTCCAGGATTTCCCAGTGAAAAATTCCCGAATTTGAGAAAAGTAAAGATTGGATTCACTCGATCTATATTGGTACTACTCCGAGACTGAAAAAAATTTTCGTCAATTTCTTCATTTTCCGGCAGAGTTTTTTGGTTTTCCACAGGAAACCATGAGACAAATTTACTCATCGCTGAGTTCCTGCACTTTTGGCGATTATGAGTGAACTAAACTCAAATTTGGGTCGTTCTCATTCGCCGTGTAAAATATTTGTAATCGGTTGTATCATGCCGATATAAGCATTAACTCTCGCATTAACTTCTGCAGAGGATTCCCAACAAACAATTGCCTATTGAAGAAACGAATTTTTGACGATTTTATTCCACTTCATGCCTAATAATACTTGTACTATTTTTAATAATAACTTCTGTTCAGGCTTTGTTCACACAAATCTGGAGAAATTATTCAACCACAACATCGAAATATTTGGTGTTGAATAAGGTATGTCGAGAAGCTTTTATTCTACTTACAAAAGTTGTAACAGAGCTTATTCCATCAAATTTTTGATTATTCAGCGTTTATTAGACCATCTGTACTTCCTTAAACAGCGATGGTATAAAGGTGTATATAGACGCTTGATTCTCATGTGAAATAATGTTTAATTATTACATCATTATACATTTATTAAACGATTATTCAACTACGGGATAATTAATCCGAAAATAAGAACGGCACGAGCAGGGTTGTTTTCGTTAGTGATTTTGTTGTGTCATTACTTCTGGCGAATTTATTACATACATACATACATACATACATACACACACATGTCGTTAAATGGGATTCGAACCATGACCTTCGATCACCAGCCGCTTGCCTTGCCATCTGAGCTATCCTAGAATACATCATATGAGCAGCTAAATAAGCAATAAAAGCTTGAATCTGAAAACCTATCAGCACTTCCAGCCGTAACTCTAGCTAATTCAAGGAGATGTGAGAATGATTCATTCATTCATCAGTTGTTTAACATGAGACCAACGTTACCTCTCCATCTCTCTAATTTCGATGGAAAGGATGCTATTCTTTTCGATCGATCTATGAATTGGTTGTCGTGAGTGATACGATCTATGATTACGATTTAAATTAATTAGGAGTAGAACATAAATAAAAAAGGGTTGAGGCTGGGATTGAACTCGCGACCTTCTACTTGGAAAGCGGAAACGGTAACCACTATGCTACCAATTTCGTTTTGTTGTTAGCCTGAAGAACTGTTGTGGAATAATGAATGAATACGCCGTTTGTAAAGCATTTATAAAGCATGCAATTAAAACATGGACGCATAGTGGTATAAGCAACCGGTGAACACTCGTGTTTATTTCAGTTACCGTGGGGACGTAATTTGTGACTAGCCCGGTCCCTTTCAAATTGTATCATTATTTATATACGTTCCTTATATTTGAAATGACGTTTCATTTTCATCTAGTGATGGCCGATTTTCATTCGAATAATCGATAAATCGATTAACGAACCGAACAGTAAAATATACACGGATAGAAATCTCCTTATACCTTTTGGCAAATTTCTATTGCTGATTATTCATAAAATGTATAAGTCAACTAATAAGTAGACGCCTTGCAAAAAGTTAATGAAGATTATGTGTCAAATGAAATGTAAAAGCGGTCACACATACCTTTTATGCATTCTTATAGGGCCTATGTGGTTTGTCTTATGGAATGTATAAGGCTGATGTTTTGGCAAAAATGTATAAGTGAAACACATGGATAAAATAATTGATTTTCGTTTCGTGTATGTAATCGGTTATATCTTGCCGATATAAGCATTAACTTCTTGAGAGGATCATCACCGATCGTTTTAAACAAGTTTTGCACTCTCAATGGTGGCAAAATGACAGGACAGCGAACAAAAAATAATCGATTAGTTGTTAATCGAGTAATTAAAAAATGGGACATCTCTGATTTTGGTGTGATTGTTTTGATAAAAAAGCGAGGGGGCAACTAAACAACAAAACTACCTTGCATACTGGGGGTATTCATTGGATGAAAGGGACCGTGAAAGAGGACACTAAAATTGAATGTTTTTCTTCCGACAGTTTCATCTTAGTATTCACCTTTTTTCAGCAATATTGTTAAGCAATGCAATCACAGCAAAAAAAAAATGTAATATCGATCAACGTAATTCAAGCTGATGTATGAAATAATGATGTAATAGCAAAAAGCAGATGCAATATTACATCAATGGATGTAATTTTGTTCGCAAAATCGATGTACATCGTACAATGTGATATTACACAACCGATGGATTGACCTGGTTGCAGCAGTTTCGATGTAATATTCAACAACTTTTTTTGCTGTGATGGAATCTAGTAATGGAGCTAGATAACAATTATTAGACGTATAATAAAGCATGTTATTAAATCAATTGAAACAGTAGGATTAAAACGTCAATGTATGTGCAAATTACACTTATTCAGTATGTTATTAGATCAAACTTCTGGTGTTGAATCAGGAAGACAGTCATCGTTTGTATAGATTTTAATAAGTATATTAATCAAATCAGAGCAATCAGCGAAATAAAGGCGCATCATCGATCTCAATGAGGTTTTCTGAGTACATAATTTGACAACCCGTTTTATTCAGCATTGTACACTGTTATAAAGCATTTATTCAATCTATATGCTTATTTGTGACTCTGAATTGTTTTTGGGAAGTGATGTGGAATAATAAATCTAATACGTCGTTTATAAAGCATTTACAAAGCATTCAACTAAAACATGGACGCATAGTGGTATAAAAGCTATTTTGCTGACTGTATTCATCTTTATACAGCAATATTGTAAAGCAATGCAATGAAATCTAATAATGGAGCTGGAAAACATTTGTAAGACGTCTAATAAAGCATTTTATTAAAGCAATTGAAAACAGTCGAATTAAAGCGACAATGTATGTGAAAATTACA